TCTAGCTACTGAAATGAGAGATTTTTGGTATGACAAAAGATAAGTCATCATTTGACAATTCCATGAACCCCACAAATTAAATGATGCAGCTATATAAAAAAAAAAGTTGGAGGCAGTTTTAATTGCAACATTCTCACTTAGTTTGAACCCTACTAAAACTTTAAAAGAATTTGAAACACCATACGAAATGTGGCGTAGTAAAAAGCCTCAAGTAAAATATTCATAAGTGTTTGGTTCCATAATACCGTTTATAGGTACATAAAAACCAGGAAAACAAAATTTGATATCAAATCCTGGAAAGCTGTACTGGTTGGTTATGAACAAAATGAATATGAAGTATGGGATGTGGTTAGTCATAAGTTTGTTGTCGTCAAGGATATTATTGTAGATATGACAAATTTGTTTTTGTCCTCCAAGCCTTTTAATCTGCATAAAGCTGATTCCTCTGACTATTTGTCAAGATCAGTAGTTAAAAATACGCTTGAAAAAGTGAATGTAGAACACTTTTGATTATAAAGCTGATTCCTTTGACATTTGTCAAGAACAGTAGTCAATCATAAGCTTGAAAAAGTAAATGCAGAACACTTATGGTCATAAAGCTGATTCCTCTGACTATTTGTCAAGAACAGTAGTTAATCATAAGCTTGAAAAAGTAAATGCAGAACACTTATGGTCATAAAGCTGATTCCTCTGACTATTTGTCAAGAACAGTAGTTAATCATAAACTTGAAAAAGTAAATGCAGAACACTTATGGTCATAAAGCTGATTCCTCTGACTATTTGTCAAGATCAGTAATTACTAACAAGCTTGAAAAAGTGATTTCTCACTTTAATTGTAAAAGCTGATTTCTCTGACTGTTTGTCAAGATCAGTAGTTACTAATAAGCTTGAAAAGTATAAATATTCAACTTTTCTGGTCATAGAGCCAATTTTTCTGACTCTTTGTCAATATCAGTGGTTAGTTAATGATAAGTTTGAAAAAGTGAATGCATAACACTTTGGTGATGAAACTGATTCCTTTGACAGTTTGCCAAGATTGCTGGTTGATAAATCTGATAAAGCAAAATCAGATGACCAACCAATCCAAGAAAGTAGCTAACTGTTAACCCACAAACTTATCAAACTATATAATGAATGATTATAGTAAATCTGTGGTTAAAACATATCTGCCATATGATATTCATTCAGTTTCGACTATAATCACGATTCCCGAATTAGTTAAATTGAAATCCTCCAGTGAATTGCATCCAATAAATTTTTTTTGCACTATTGACAAAATTTTGGAGAAAATGGTGAATATGCAACTTGTTGAGTTTATAGGTAGATAGAAATAAACTATTCAGTGATTTTCAATCAGGGTTTCGAGTAAGTCAATATTAATAGTTAATAGTGATTATGAAAAAGTGAATGTAAAACACTTTGATGATAAAGCTGTTTCCTCTGATTGTTTGTCAAGATCAGTAGTTATTGATAAACTGAACTGAACTGAACTGAAAAAGTGTCAAAAATGAATGTAACACTTTGGTAATTAGCCTATCCAAAACACGTGACTTTGACAAGCAAACAAAGGGTTTGTGTGCCTCTTGGCGGACATTTTAATTTGAGTTCGACAGCATCTTGGATAGTCTAATAAAATCTTTCCCGTGAAAGTGGCAGTTTGTCAAGATCGGTGGTTTGGTTAATAAATCTGATATGGCTAAATCAGATGCGTAACAATCCAGGAAAGTAGGTAAATGTTAACCCTAATAAACTCATTAAACTAAATAATGAGTATAGTAAATCTGTGATTAAAACAGATCTGCTAAATGATATTGATTCACTCATTACTGGTAAATAAAACGTGGTCGTTAGTATCAAGACCCGAATATAAAACTATAGTGGATTGTAAATGGATATTTTCCATTGAAAATGATGAAATTGGAGAACCATTTAGATACAAAGCTTACTTAGTTGCTCGTGGTTTTAGTCAACATTACTTGGTAGATTATAATGAAACCTTTGCACAGGTGGCGAGAATCGCAGGTTTCTGGTTTATAATAACCTTTTTAATCAGTTTACCCTTTTAATACATCATATGGATGTACAAACAGCTTTCCCGGATAGGTCATTGAAGGAAGCCATTTTTATGAAGGTTCCTGAAGGCTGAAGGGTGGCTGGCTGAAGGTGTGACAAGTAAACCTCCTAAGTTTGCAAGGCTTTGTATCTATGAACTAAAACAAACCACTAGATGTTAGTTTAAAATAATAGTAAAAGTTCATAAAGAAAATGGATTTGAAAATTCATCAGTTAACCACTTTATTTATATCTTAGACAAAGGTGCAATATGTAAAATTATTTATGTAGTTCTGTAGATGGTATTTGCCACTGCAGATAATAATACATTGAATAGTTTCCAAAGGTATTTGGCAAATAACTGTTCTATGTTTTATTTGAAAGACAGTAAACTATTTTTGGATAATAAAATTAAAAGGTAATCAAAATAAAATTACTCTTGATCAATTTTCATATAGGTACATTTCACATGTACATGAAAACTATTTTACATAAATTTAATATGAATGACTGTTGTGCCATCAGCTGTGTCAGCACTCCTCTTCCTAGTAAACTGAATTTGATTGGTTTAAATTCAGAAGAAAAACATGATAGCCCTTGCCGGAATCTAATCGTCTGTTTAATGTATATTATGTTATGTATATCAAGCCTGATTTAAGTACCACTGTTAATATTTTGAGCAGGTATTAAAACAAGAATAATAAAGAGTTTTGGCAATATTTGAAAAGGGTCCTTAGATATCTTAAGGGTAAAATCAATATGAAGTTGACACAATATTTTAGTTGTGAATATATCAATTTCTTGAGTGTTTCTATTAATCCTGACTAAGAAGGTGGAGATGCATGATATAAACAATGTAAAAGGCACAACAGGATATTTATTTAAACTGTTTGAAATTTGTGTGATATGTTGGAATACAAAAAGGCAGTTGTCAGTAGCGGCATCATCTACTGAAGCCGAATATATGGTTTTCTTTTTAAAGCTGTCACAGAAGCTCTTTGGTTGAAATCATTAGCAGAAAATATGCATAAACATTAATATCAGAGTCAATTATGACCTAGGAGGACAACAATGGACCTCAATAAGTATTACAAATAATCCAACAAATCACAAAAGATCAAATCATATTGAATTGATCGTAATTAATATAAAATATTAATTTGTCCACAGATAAACCACTAGCAGACATGTTTACCAAACCATTGATGCAAGTGAAATTAGAATGGAATTAGGCTTAGTAAATAAGTTAAATGGTTTGATTAGGTTTTTCTGGGTTTTCCCTAATCCTGAGCAGCAAATGCTGGACCGTTATTGTAATTTTCCCCAGAAAAGACACACATAAGGAAAGCGGGCCTATTTATGTTATACTAGGTTTAAGTTGTATTACACTTTTAGTATAATTGATCAATTTTTTTTTGAGGTGGCGTGTTGGATAAACTGATATTCATATCAGTGAAACAAAAATTAATAAACTAAACTTTGATTGTTAGCCTATACTTTGCTAATTTATATCGCAGCTATGGATGACTGAATGTGTTTATAATAGTTTTTATATGTAAGGTAAACAGATGAGGAATCGTTTACTTAAGAAAGGGTTTTGTAATTCTTTGTCTTGATGTTGAGTCAGTTCGTATAGTTATTTCTATGAGTTCACACGCTCTGCTTTCCACGCTGTGTTCGATATAATAAATATATTGAATATCGATAATTAACAAGTTCTTTTATTTCTTAGTCCATTTCCCAATATTTACAACGCACTAAATGTTAATTAAAAAAAAAAAAAAAACTAAAAAAAGGCACACAACTCTTGCCTAACGTAACGTTAAAAACGTAAAAGCGCATAAAGATAGTCGTTCATTCGTCAGGAATCGACATCAAGGATCTCGCATTGCGCAGGGTTACCAGATTTGAAATTATTTATGAATATAAAAGGGAATGCATACATTTTTTTTAAAAATAGCATGAGACATTTTAAAAATAAAAAATATATATTTACAGAAAAATAAGGCAGTGCCATGGCACCGTGGCACTACCTCACGAGCCGCCACTGGACAACAGACGTTCTTAGGATGTCGTGAATGTTCAGGTCACAGCATCTTAAAGACGCCTCAACCCGCCGTCACTCGCGCCTCATTTTTTTACACCATCGCTCGCGGGTTAGATTTTATATAACATCCATTTCTTTGCAATAAAACTATTATTTTTCAAACAGAGGTTTGGTAAATTAATTAAAATTGATTTTTAATAATTTTATATAATTGTTGTTTTAATAAAAACAACAAAATACAAATGACAAAATTAACAAAATTTTGACACACGCCGTCACTCGCGTCCTTAGATTGTTCCTAACATACACACGCTTGCGTGTTAGATTCGCACTAACAATATGTCGTTTTGGCACAAAAACAGAAACATCGCCCAGTCGACTATACATGCGTGCAGTAGGTGGGGTCATAAAAGCATTCCTGGATACACGGCAAAAATAATGAAAATTATGACAAATTTTCAAAAAATGTTAGATTTTTTCTAGGGACGCTAGCGATGGCGGGTTAAGGATGTATTTGTGCTGTTTGGGTTATGTCTAAAAAATGTATGAGTATTATTTAGTACTGAGGTGAATAAAGACATTACTTCTTGATTTAATTCGATTCCTTTTTTGATGATGATCACTGTAATAACTATATAATAGAACTCGTAAACAATAGTTGGATTACTCTGAATAGGCCTCTTCTGACGATCAAAAGAATTGACGATAATGATGGTGTGTAAGTATTATACTCTCGATTATACTACCTTGGACAACATTTCCTTGCTACCCAACTACCCAACTACCACCAATACTTGACAAACAAGCTGAAGTCTTTTATGAAACTTTTGCTGAATGATGCTGAAGTATAAGCAAAATAAAACGTATACCTACAAGTGTTTACTTCAATATAAATTTTCAGGATAACTTCTATTTATGGAATAAATGGAGACCAGGAAATTGCAGAGAAGGCGGAAAATCAAGAAAGTGGGGTTTCAACTAATAGTAAACAAGCTAGTGATAGTAGTGGGTACTATGCTATCAATAGTTGTATATATTATAGTGTATAACCGTTTACTTTTTACAGACTAGTCACTAGTCACTGTCAGATCATGAAACTATAAGACTGTTGGACTTATATGAACAATTCCTACCGATTGTGAGCCCATTAAAAAAAAATTATAAAAAAAAAAATAAAACATATGGAATCACATTGCAGAAATTATTAATAAATTTTTCAATTCCAATAAAACGGGAATCCAAGTCGAAAATAGATATAAAACCATATTGAAAACAAAGAAAAGTGCAATTGATAATAACCATAAGTCTGGCTCTTAGTCGAGTAGCAATTCCATTTGAATTTGAATTGAACAAAATAGCAAGTATAGAAGATTCCATCGAGCCAGAGGTGACCGGCACTGCCAGTGACATTATTACTAACAAACGAAAATCTTTGCAAAGTCAATTATCAGAGCGATCAGCACCAGCATTACTGAATTCAGCATCTATCTCGGCATCCACCTCAGAAAATCCAGTAACTCCGAAACTGAATAAGAAGGTTAGGACAATCCAAGAGACATTAATCGATATTCATGTAAAAAAAGAGAAAAATTGGCAAGAGAGCGTCGCCATAAAGAAAAATTAGATCCTATCAAACAATTGCTAAGTCAAACGAACTCCCAGAGTAGTAGCAGTATATGCGATGATGTATCGTAAATACGAGCCGAAATAAATTGAAACTAAAGTACAAGCCAGGCAATGTTCATTATTGATATACAGGTTGCTTTATTTTCAACGCCGTGTTTTAGTACCTAAATGGATTTTATCCCAATTTTGATCTAGATGAATCAATCGTCTTATCCCAAAATGAAAATAGTACAACAAGCGAATCCTCATCTTCAATTCTCAAACATCTACAATTGCAACTTCACCAACTGCAGATACAGACCATTGGTAGCACAATGGTGCTAATCATTTATACATGCGCCGTGGAAGTGTCTTTGAAGATCTAATTAATATATTTATCACTAAAAAAATAAGTGACTCACCCATTACAGTTGAAATGATTGGCCATAATGGCCAAGAAGAATTGGAAGAAGATATAGGCGGCGTATTTCGAGATGCTCTTTCCGAATTTTAAGCACACTTTATGGAAAGATGAATTGTTGGTGCTTGTGTAAAAATTCCATATATTGGACATGATTTTGATAATGAGAAATTGAGAGCAATTGCTCTTATTCTGTATAGAGGTTTCAAAGAATTGAATTATTTCCCGATAGAAATTGCAGACGTTTTCATGGAAAGTGTGATTCCCTATAGAAGATTAAGCAACCTAAGGAAATCATTTTTATCCTACCTGAGTGCAGATGATAAAGCCGTTCTGAAGGAGGCGATAACGCAGTTTGATCAAGTTGATCAAGACGCACTTCTAGATGTTCTTGGAGATTTGGGCTGTAAGGTTCAGCCGACTAGTGAATTTTTTTTAAAAGTATTGGATGAGTTGGCTCATAAAGGATTGATTCAGAAGACAACATTCAGAATTAATTCATGGAGTACTGTACTGAGAAACTTTATTTCTGATAATAAATTGTTGGAAATTTACAAGAACAAACGTATAAATTCCAGAAATATTTTATCTTCAATTTCACCTAATAGTTCCCAAACTGTGAAAACAGACAAAAATATTACATACGGGTATTTGAAAAAATTTAGAGAAGAGAGCTCCGTAGATACCCTCAAAAAAATTGTGTGGTTTTGCACAGGTGCAGATGATATCATTGGAAAGCAGATTAGGACTGATTTCAATGATAAAGAGGGTTTATCCAAAATACCCCAAGCACATACTTGCTCATGCTTACTCGAACATCCTGTAATTTATAATGATTATCCGAACTTAGATCTGACTCTAATTCTCTGCTCAATAATACAGAATGGACCATTAACTTGTGTGAAAATGGTACCTACCTTCTAGCTCCTCGAATGACATTTATTTATAGGTACTGAAACAAAAAAGTTTTTCATAAAGGAATATTTTTTTTATATTTTGTTGTCTTTTTTATAATACATTTTTCGTTTGAGTTTAAGTTATAAATAAAAGACCAGTTACGTTAATTGTTCATTTTATTGGTTATTAAGTAAATACTACATAGATACCAAGATACATGTTTCTGTTTATCAAAATTCTACAAAAGAAGTATTATATTTTTTCTTAATATAATATAAAAATTAACTGCGTCGTAAGGATTTTGGGCTTTCACAAGACTGTGCCATGATGATAATACATAGCTCAAAAACATCTTTGTCACAAGGCTCAGTTGAAAACCAACATTCCAATATTGTGGGCATTCCATTCACATTGTACCTGGTCAATTTCATCCTATAATTTTTTTTTTATAACTATTCATTTAAGTTATGAAAAGCAAAGAAATTGTGCCGTAAAGACTTAATAGCGAACTTGTACATCAAATTGAATATGGAATAAATAATAAAACACAATAACAAACATCCTAATAAATGATGCAATAAGGAAAAAAAAATAATATCTTACCTCTGGTGTCCATAATCTTTAATTGAAAATACTCGAAATTCATGACGCGATCAAAAACGTGTGTTTATGGGTCCTGACGTCACAAGGCAGTAATAATCGGGTCGCGCGCCCGCCACGCCATGTGCTGCTGATGTCGCCATTGTCAAATCGGGCGTCGCCTACTTCGGCCCGAAAATGGGAAATACGAGGTAAGATGAATTTTAATGAGTTTGTATAAATGCTCATTTCGGCCCAAAACCAAAAACTACTTAGAAGGTGAGTACCTCTAATAAACCATAGAACCAATATACCTGATCAAAGGGTGTTATGATACCCTATGAATATATATATGTTTTTTTCTATTTAGATTATTTAGTTCCGCAGTAACATCTTAACTGCAATAATCTAAGTAAAAAAAGACGGAAAAATGAGTGAATCGGCTGAATTAAGTGAAATGACGTACGCGGTAAAATATTTCTGGTGTTGAATCAATTTAAATTTAAAGAACATAACCGAAAATTGAAGTCGGGAGAAACGAAGTGGAGATGTATCAAAGATAGATGCAATGCCTATTTGAAAACTATCGGCAATTCTTCTGATCGAGTTTTGACATCATCGAATCAAAACCATTCACACGAGACAGAGTTGGAAAATGTCTTGCAACGGCAAATATTAAGTGCGACGGCGAAAAGGAAAGCTGAATCTGACGTATGTGAAAAACCTTCAAAAATATTAAGGAAAGCTTTGTCAGAGCAACCAGAACAGGATGCTCTCACCATGAAGGATTTGGAATGTGTTAGAAAAAACATGTACTATGCTCGAAGGAAATCGCTGCCAGCATTACCCAAGTCAGCCTCAGAAGTCCACACAATGTTAGCTACAATTGGCTCAAAAACTAATAAAGGTGAAGATTTCGTCGTACATAATGAAACATCCTTAAATTTAATAATATTTTCCTGCAATTCCAATTTAAATTTTTTGTGTAAAGCAGATATGTTGTATATGGATGGAACCTTCTCTTATTGCATAAAATTTTTTAAACAGCTTTTTACTATACACGGCTTTTTTAATGGACACTATATTCCATTAGTTTTCTGTTTATTATAAGATAAGCGCGAAGAAACCTATTGGTTGTGTCTGTCTAAGATACATTATTTATGTAAGAATTTTGATTTAGTAGAGAACTTGGAAATTTCAATCCATAACGCTGTAACTCAAATGTGGGCAAACATAAAAATTACTGGCTGTAGGTTTCACTTGACTCAAGCATGGTATCGTCAAATACAGAAACTTGGTTCGATATAATTCTATAAAGATGACACGTCAGATGTTGGCAAATGGCTGCACTATTGTTGTGGGCTTCTGTTTTCAGAACCCAATGAATTAGAGGATTTCTATTTTTTTGAATTATACGAAATTAAGCCTCAAAATGCAATTTAAGAAAAATTTTCTGATTATCTTTTTGAAAATTATTTAACCCAAGAATCTAAATTTCCACCTCACATTTGGGCAAGTGCTTCTGCAGATTTAAATAAATCTACCAATGCTTGTGAATCGTTTCACGCACATTTTAACAATTCAATGTATCACACACATCCATCTGTATTTATTTTTGTTAAAGAACTTTTAAATGTCCAAACAAAAACGTATGTAAAATGTAATAGTATTAGCATTAAAAATATCTCTAGAAATTTAGGAAAGAAAAAACAAAAGTTTATGGAGGAACAGGTGAAAAAATATAAAAACAAGCAAATTTCAAAATTAGACTATGTAAAAATTGTATCATATTATCATTCTAAGTAGTATTAAGGCGTTTTTTGTGAAATGTTCTCTGTATATATTATTGTATAGTATAGTATTATCATATAATACTAGGGAAAACAGGTTAAAGGGGACTAACAAATAGGCGCACAATATACAGGGTATTCCATTTGAAAAAATTTAACGAAATATTAACTGATATTACTTATCCTAGAATAAGGAGGAATAATTCGGAAAATAATAGTCAATCAACTAACGAATTAGCTGAACTTTATTCAGAAATATCAACAAACAACTCTTTAGTTAGAAACTCAGAAATAGCTGATCTTTATTCAGACATTTCAAGACACACACTTCAGTTACGACATTTAGGAAGTGAACTTTCCAGTGAACTGGAAGATATTTTGAATAACTTTAGATTAAAATTAAATCAAATAAACGATTTTTTAGGACCACAAATTTTAAATAACAATACAATGGCCGCTGAAACATTAAAATCTACCGTAACTCTTTTGAAAACATTTGATGGAACGCCAAGGCGTTTAGAAACTTTCATTAATCAAATTAATTGATACATTTTATGCCAGATATTTTAATGATGATACATCTCAACAAGAATGTAAAATTTTAGCAATAGAAAATTATCGGCGCAGTCGTAGACTTTCATTAACAAGATCAGATTTGAATACATGGGGCGAAATTGAAACTGCTCTTCAGCAAAAGTTTACAGACCCAATAACCAGAGTAAATTTACAACAACAATTAATATTTTTGTCAAAAAGAAACGAATCAACTCAAGATTACATACAAAAAGCTTTAGTAACTATGATATATAATAAAATTTGTTCTGAAATTACCAATATTGAAGCTCGCACAGTATTAATTGCACAAAATGAATTAACAGCAACTCAAAATCTTTTAGCGAATCTCTCAAGTGAGTTGAGAACTTTATTTATAGTTCAAAACCCACAAAATCTGGATAATGCTATTGATATAATTACCAGTTATAAAATTTTAACAAGCCAAAATTATTTTAAAAATCAATACATGCAGAATCATGGTTTAACTAAACAAAATATACAGAAATCCTAAAATCAATTCCCAAATTTTCAACAAAAGCCAACTAATCAATATCAAACGAGTTCTTCCAAACAAACTCCAATAAATTGACCCTCAAATCAACCCTTTTTTAAATCACGAGGGCAATTTTCGAAACAGCCAAACCAATCATTTTTCAAAACCACAAGTTCAAAACTCAGCACAGAAAAATTTTCAATATTCAAAACCTCAGCAGCAAAACCCACAAACAATGTCAGGTGTGAGTATTCAACCACGAAAACTTGTCAGCCAAGTAAGACAATAACAACCTTACTTTAGATCCACAGAAAAACCCAATTATACATTACAGGAATAAACCAATCTTGAAAATGACGGAACTGAATTCCAAAATAACCCAGACTCTGAATACGATTTTTACCAAAGTAATGACAATTTCGAAGATCAGACATCTTATGAAGAAAAAATATATTAAAATAAATCAATTGCCATTCATAGAAACTCCCAATAACAGTATAAGATTATTAATAGATACAGGATCACATGCATCATTACTCAGACCATCTTTAGCTGAAACGTATTTTCCAGAATCAATCAAAGCGTATGTTAGTACACTACAATGATGCGCTGGTTCATCACGAAGAACATGAACAACTTTCAAATTGCTTAGAAAATTTGGAAATGCTTTTCATGAACCTCGAGATCAATTAACATTCTCAAATCAAGTCAAGCATGAATTCGGTTTTAGCACCCTCAAAAACATATAAAACCGTTGAAAAAAAAAATTTCGCAGTTTTTTTACGAAAACTGCAGTTTTAAGCACGCATTTACTCGACTATTTAAACCCGTATGCGATTTGAATGCGACCGTCTGCCAGGGTTTTCTTTTATAACTTTGGTTAGTAACATATTTGGTAATGTTTTGACACAAAAATAACAGTGGTAACCTATGAGGTAGTTGATGGCGTTTTTTTGACTTTTCAGAAAAAAATAAATCTATTAAAGCGACCACTTACGTCCGGCAGACGAACGGTTTTGAAACCACCATGTGAGGTAGTACCGACATGTCAATTCATCCCTTTGGTAACCTATGAGGTAGTTGTTTTTACTGCCACCTCTCGGACTATTACGTAAAATAGTATTCTCTACCAGCGCGCATTCAAAATAGGTAATATTTTATTATACTGCGGAGCTATAACTATAAATGCATTTTTCTTAATCTGTTAGTCTTGAAAATAAAACTTCCAATAGTAAAATTGTTAGAAATTTGTTTATTTAACAATGTATTATTTCCACACCACTTTTGTAATGAAGTGCAAAGATTCTATATATTATATGCAAACAAAAAACATTTTCTTATTCTAGACGATATGTTACATATTTGCAAAGGCATTTTGGTTCTAACATAATTGTTATATTTGACGGAGATACTCACATAACTCTAAAAATAGAAAAGCAATGGAGCAATTAAGACGAAGCACTGTCTGCATTTTATGAAGTTCGCTTTGATGCGACAATGATTGTGCCAATCACCCAAGAAAAGTTGTTATCCTTATCAAACCTATTCAATAAAAAGAATTTAATTGAAATGCTTATTGAACAACTACAAGCTGC